GGGAATTGGAGGATTCATCTGCGTACCAGCTTACATGCAGCTTTGCGCGAGATGGTTGATACTGTAGTATATATATCCGAAATGCGAAATAGATTTTACACGTAGATTATGAAGTTTAATTTTGCAAAACTGTAGAAATCACGGTTACCGATGAACTCTTGTTAATCTCCTTTAGCCTTTTTTATTTTATTGTTTTGAATTCTAAAAGTACTCACCTTTCACCAAGACGGCCGGGGTTCGATTCCCCGCTCGGACGTGACCAGGTTTTGGGTCAACAGCTCGACCACGGTTTCCTCCAACTTTGAGACACCTAGCGTGCACACACCAAGGCTAACACGAGTGACAAATATAATTTAGAACAACTTGTTCTATAACTTTTGTAAAATAAGAAAAGATAATATATATTATAATTTAGAATTAAAGTGATTTTCTGTTCTATTTCACATATGATCCCCACCACTACTGCAGTCCCAAAATCGAAATCCAGTTCGTATTTTATTGTGGAGTGAAATGCTGAAAGCACATGTAAATTAATAAATATATTATAGCTCTCTTAATATTGGTATCATACTCAATTAGGATTTAATATGTTTTAAGCACATTAATTTTGGCATATTTCGTGGTGTATTAAACAACAAAAACAAATAAGTTTTAGCTGGCAGAATAAGTACCACATTTGTCTTACCGTGTCTTTTGCATGACGTTTCTCAATCTGAGCATTTTGAGGACCACATATTGACCCTAACAATGGTTGATGCTGTTCTGATGGGCAATTAAGGATGCAAGCATAACAGGGGACCGATGGAATCACCTTGGCGCACACCAGTAAATATGTTAATTAATCAGAGGCCACGGCGGCCAGGTTTGATTACTGATCCGAAAATAAAACACTTTATGCACACCTACACATGCTCACGAATTCTCATGTGAATTTTCACAAGTAACTGGCCAGTTATCATTGAGAAGTGGACGCAAAAGTATTTGGCGGACGGAAAATTAAAAGAAAATGATGTGACGAAATTGTATACTTCATTTGCCACTCGGGACGTTTCGCTTATCGATAGAGAGCGTGTCGAATGACATATGAGATGAGTTACCGATACGAATCGCTCACTCAGTCATAGCTTGACAAAGGGGCCAGTCGGTCTTGAAACGTCGCAGCTCATTTAATTCGCACATTGTTTGTGTATAAAGAAAAACTTTTGATTTTATATATTTTTAAACTGAGGAATCTTATTGAAGAAATAACTGATAGTAATAAGAGTAAGAATTGGTTTCTATGCGCCTTCCTTATTGTAATTTTTGATAGGAGTTGCCTCCCTTCGACCACTAAGTTAATACTTATAAGCTTTTCATAACGCTATTCACAGCGTAAGAACTGCTATTCTCAGCGTCTGAGGTCAGGAAACCAGGATCGGTATTCATCAAATCATCCTTATGCTAAAACTAAGATTCTGTACTCAATCCCAATAATTTTACAATTTGTGAATGGTTTGGAGGAATTTTGGGAGAACCTTAAAGCAGCATACCACTTTCGACGTTTACAAGTGGCCTTTGACTGTGTGACATGGTGGAAGCAAGTAACAAGGAAGTTTGTTCGAGCACAGACTCCATGCTTGAACGGGCCCAGAACATCCTGACGTCGAACCTTCACATTTGATATAGAGATGTCTCCCTTAGGTTGTCGTCTACAAGTTTACATATATATGATTATCTTCAAGTCATGTATGTACTAAATCTCAAACGGAAGTTGGTGCGAAACGGTGTAAACCGGAACATATCAGTGTATTTACAGGCGAATCTGAGCCTGATTTCGAATAAAAACAACATAGTTTCATCATTTATCTTCCGAAATTTTGTTTCAACGGTTGCGGCGATATACATAAGCAAACGGCTGTTATAATAACACACATCCGTTTAAGCATAACACATAAATGGTTTGATACAGTAGGGTTATCCCTTCAGTACCATCAGACTGCAATATCAAACCACAAATTAAGATTTACATGTACAATGCTCATATGCATAGCCTTGTAATTGTATTTGGTATTTTCATGTTTATAAATATCAGGAATTCAAGTAGTTTGTCGTCACGATGCATTCACAACACAAATATTCCTAAAGAGCGTTTATATATGCATGCTTAACCAAAGTAAAGTCGACTATATATACATTCTCTAATAGTTACTATTTAAAGATTGGACTAATATATATATTGATCTCAAGAGTGCACTTCCATTATTCACCCCTGCAGTTCGGGGGTCGGGAAAAGAATGACCTGCTGTTAACCTCTGCAAGAACTCCTGCAGAATTGCGATTTGCCTTTGTTTCCTCTATTTGGGAACAATTAATCGACCAAAATAAATCGGCTGCAGCCATTGCAATATTTGGGATCTTTTCTTTCTTTCTTTCTTTTACTTATAAATACCTTTTATTTCTTAGTGCCTTGCTTGGCAACACCTCACTTTTGGCTTTAATGTGAGCGTTCGCCCAGGTGAAGAAGGCAATGGGCTCTGTCCTAAGGCGGGGGCATACCAAAGTCCTTTTGGTAATTGTTATCTCTGCTGACCTTACCTGTAAATAGGACG